GGTTTTAGGAGTTTAGGGTTTCAGAGGGGGACCGGGGAGTGTTGGCAGGATTGTAGGTTTTGGGGTTTCAGACGAGAGAGCTTTTTAGGGCTTTAGGTGGCTTTGGTACAGCGGGATCTCGGAAGAGATCGGCTTGGGCTTTAGGTGCCACATTCGTGCTCGAAGAGGCCCTGTCTAGGACCGTAGGACAGCCCTGAAGCCCTCAAGTGAATGTATTGCATCACAAGTGTACAGCGGACGTTGGGCTGTGAGTTCGCCGAAGGCAAACCTTGACTTCAACTTGCTGAGCACGGCCATACGGATGGTTTTCGAGGACTTAGGGCTGTTTACAAATCCTGGGGTCCCTCTGCGCCTTTNNCCTTTCTGACACCTTCATTTTTTAGAGTTTTGAGGGTGTTTGAGGGCAGTGGGGTAGGAAAACAGGAAGGCTGCTCTTTGAGTTCACACTTGCCGAATATAATATAGGGGCTTCAATAGTCCTTGATATTATTACTTACAGTTGAATGGACCCCAAAACCCTATTCTCATGATGAAGGCCCCTATATTATTCGATTTGGGGTTCCCCACCAGGTCCAGCACCTTTGGTCCCTGGCTTGAGATTTATAGGCCTTAGGGATAGACGACAAAACATGTTCTTCTTTTCTTGAAGCGGGACGGCGGCTGCTGCTCGTGGCAAAAACTGCAACAACGCCCAGAGCGGTGGAACAGACTTCAGGATGAAGGGCGATTTGGGTTTGGGTTTAGGGTTTAGGTGTGTTCATTGAGTACAGCGATGTTCCAGCTTTCTGGCACATGATTGTAGTAATTACTCCCCCGAAAATGATGCCCTTGGTGATGCTGCTGCTGGTAAGTTCTCCAGCGATTGTATGGAGTCCAGGAGCAAAAACGGTTACGTTTTTCGGCCCTTGCCATGTGTTCTGCCAGGTGGAGGGAGGATAACAGCTTTTCTCATCGTCGTTTAAGTGATTTCCCACATGGTTCACTAGAATCGATGCGCTTCGGCATTGCCAAGCGAATTGCTTTCCCCGGTATGTCCGATGTTGTTGCGGTGACATGCGACAACATGCCCTCCCCCCCCTCCCCGGCCGTGCGCGCGGAAGGCTGCCTTCTGTCGCAGGAAAGAAAACCATGCATGCTCAGGCATACTCGGCTATCCAAGGTCTTTTAATTTTTTATTTTACTCTTTTCAGGACAATCCGGGTGCTGTGCATGACCTGAACCTGTTGGGGAACTTCGTCGACAACCACGACATGCAGCGCATAGGGCTGTACTGCAAGGGCGACGTGTCTCGGATGCGGAATGCCGTCGCGTGGACAATGATGATGCAAGGGATGCCCATCATCTTCTACGGGACAGAGCACGGCTTCAACACGACTCATCCACCTCATTGGAATGCCGGCTTCTCTACTACAACCCCAGGCTACTCCTTTCTGCAGGCGCTGAACAATATTCGAAAGGCCCTGAAGCTTCATACCGCTACCATGAAGCCGGCTTGGATTGGGAACCTTCTTTGCTGGCTACGGATTCCGATAGAAGGCAAGGCAAAAGGGACAAATACCCATCGGGCACAATTTGTTGTTAAAGAGGTACTGGTGTAGCAGCCTTAAGGCGACTGACCTTGAGCCGCCTAGGAAAGTGGAGTCTGTTCGCGCCAACCAGCTCGTCATCAGCCGTCATTCCGACACACAGGCTTTCATCTTCCTGAACAACTATGAGGACCCGGACCTCCCAAGAGCTTTGCTTTAGGGTTCATGATGGTCTAGGGTTCTAATTTTAGGATCTAGAAGTATCGTAGTTTTCCTGATGACTCGCGAGTTGTAGTTGCGGTGCAGGGGAGGGGAGGTGGGGTGCAATTTCAGGTCCCTTGGGCATCCTTTCTGCCAAAGCTGCTCTGCCTGCCTTTCGACGTCTTGAATGCTAAACCCAAACCCAAACCCTACCACTACTGCTACTCCTCCTGCTGCTGCTACTGCTACTGCTACTCAGCTTCCACTCCTCCTCCTACAGCTACCACAACGACCACTACCACTACGTGTGCTCGGAAAGGCGGAAGATCAAGATTCCAAGACCCGGTCCTCACCCTCCACAGCGGGGGGTTGTGTAAACGTCAGAAACCGCGATGAAGGCCCTTCAACTCCGTGGAGGCAAGGAACGCCCAGACGGTAATTGAGTGTGTGTGTGTGTTTGTCTGTATGTAT